AATCTAATTGTCCTATCATATTGTTTAAATGAAGACTGTTTAAATAAGACTGGTCGAGGCACGAGTATAAATATATATACAATTACGTTGATTAAAGTGAACATTTTGACATCAAGCAAAGCTATTAATGAGTGTAACAACATATTATGAAGATGGAAATAAACTAAACAAGTATTAGTTCTCTTAATAAAACAGTATTTGTAGGAAATAAAAGTTATTTCATTTTTATCAGTATAGGGTTGTGGAGATTGTTGAGTATAGACTGATATCATGAATGTCCTGGGTTCGAGTCCCATTTGCAGGATTGTGGATGCGAAATGCTCACTAGTTCCATACTAGGACAAAACGGCTGTTCAGTGCTTCCAGGTTTTCAATAGTGGTCTAACATTGACCCATTCGTGATGTCAATCTATTTCATTTTTATTCTAATACGTCTTGTCAGTTGCATAGGATTGATAAAAGGGTATAAATTGTATATATAACATTCAGGTTGCGTCTACTTTCCATAGGATAAACAAAATACATATATTCATAAATTACTGAATACGAATTAATGACAAAACTGTCATCATCATCACCATCGTTCAACAAAAAACAACTATAAATAATGATAACATAGATTACGTGATATTGTCCGAAACGGATATGAATTTAAGAAGTACGATAATTTTGAAATTCTAGATCAAAGTAACTTAAGCGCCAATGTATTTAAGTTGTCTTGTTATTGTAGTGCGCGCTACTGGTGGCGGCAGATATACGTAGTATGTATCACCAGTCGAAAGTGGAATGCATGGTAGCAGAAGGTTAAGAAGATAAAATAAAAGAGAAAGAGAACAGAGAGTGATTGGTGTGGAAGCGAAAGAACAACCAAGTCTGAGACAATTGGTTGACATTTTGCAAATAAAATATTTCCTGTATGGTTCTTGGATTTCACTAAAAGATTCTGTAATTTTGTATTCAACTACGTTTCATTGTACACACTGATGTTCTCGTTCACTGCACTGTCAACAAATTTGTTAGCATCAACCTTATCTATCAACATCATCGGACACGATATCAATCAATAATGCGGTAAAAACTTAAACTGATAAAAGTCAACGAAAATGCAATGATACATGAATAGCAACAACAGATTAATTAACACTTGTAAGATGCTATTTAAATATTGGCTTTTGTTCAAAATAAACGCTGATAATGAAATTCACGATAAAAATGAGCATTTTGCAATAAACCTATTATTATACTACTTTTAAATAATTATGTAACATCTCTTAACATTGAAATTTGTTACAAAAATAAGTGGACGTACATCAAATCCTTCTTTATTACGTAGAATACGACGATGAAGATCTGCTAGTTCTACTTTAAAAGGTTTTATTTTAAACCACCATTTTACTATTAAATATATAGGACCTGGCAGTTTAGCTTCCAGTTCTTCCACATATCGTATATTCATTAAACGACCAAATAAACGACGAGATCTAGTAGTATATAATGCATTTGACTTTGTATGTAGAGAAACACCATGTCTGGCTGTTAAGGAAATTGGAAGAATAGTCAATCGCGTAGTTAACAAATTTTTCATTTTGTAAAGTAACAGTAACACCTAAAAGAAATAAAGTAGTCAAGGTCATAATGAATAACTTCTAAATGAGGAAAGACTTCATTTCCTTAAAATAGTGAAATTGCCCGAAGCAAAATATATAACAATTGAACAGGGAAAAATAAGTTTATTATAACATCAGTGTACCGTATTGTATGAGAAAAAGATTACGAATAACACACATCTTTAGTATGTAAAGAGACTGTTAACAGAACAATTAGGTGTTGGATTGAATAAGTCATTATACAATAGGACAATAAAATAAATAGTAGCAAAAAATATGAACAAAGCTATTTGGGTCTATTAGGTTGTATAGTGAAAATATGAAAAGTATAAAATGTGAATATTTACAAACTCATTACTCTATGAATAACTCAGTTACATCAACGAATCTAAGGATTTTGTACACCGAATGAACCAATCTATATTTTCTACGATTTCTAACGGCCAGTGTAATGAGTAGACGTAATGAAAATCATGAAAACAGAGCAAATTCATAATCTCACCAGCAGTGCTCCGTAATTTCATATTATTTATTGTGATATAACCATATACGAGCAATAATAAAATCCAGAGCCTGAATAAGATATTAAGCGATCGAAATAATATTAGTGTCGACTTTATATACACCAGCTCTGTTCTTTAGTATTTCATCATCTTTTTTTATAAAGTCACCTACCAAATAACTAGCACTATTCAAGTCAATACTTATCAACTTGATAGACCAATGGCATAGTGTGGTGTATACATTTTGTCGATTACACTACTTCGCATTGATTTCAGTCAATAATTGTCAAAAGAAACAATGGCATGTTATGTACAAAATACCTCAGCTTATGATGTTGATCTAGATACCTATCTACCTAAACTAAATTCATCATATAAAACAAGATCCTAAACACCATAGATAACATTTAAAAAATCATGAGAAACCCAATCTATGTTCATAATTAGAAAGCAATACTGAAGTTCTTGGATCAAAATAAATAAAACTTTTCGAGTGCACCAAGAACTGAAGTTGATAGTTTAGCTTGTGTTAATACACCTTTATTGTGATGAATATAAGAGTATGGTACTATTGGCTTTATCCATATCTATTTTGTCTGAGTCAACTTTCACGATATTACATGAAATCGATCCATTTAACTCCACATATGTTATCCTTTGTCTTAATGACATTTTTCTAATTATTTATTAATGTGGGAAATTATAAATGTAAAGTCATTACAAAGTTGCATGTCATGGTTAGCATTTTTGCAAAGATCCGTATAAACCAACATCTTATTATATCCTTACAATGTACGTAGCTATCCCAATTCTAATGAAAAATAGAAAAACTAAATAAAACCTCTTCTATTAGCTTTTAGAAATTGATCATATTTCTATTATATTAGTTAAGCAACTCAACAGACTGGACGAGAACTGAATTTTTCCAACAGCTTGCTTTTTCCAGTATTATTGTGAATCATAATAATGATTTTATACTTTCGTGATATTTTCACATTACGATCAACATGGATAAAGATTCTCAAGAAGTAAACTCAATTTTTTTAACTGTCCTTCATATCTCAGTATAACTAATTTTCTTAGATTAGTTGATGGAGATAAATGAAGTATAGTTTGTTTGTAACACAGTTGGAAAGTATCGGACATACAGTAATCAGTTTAAGCGTAGTTTCTTACAAGTCTGTTTTATTAGTTCGATTAAAACATTTGAAATATCACGTTTTAATGGTGAGAAAATCTCTTCCATAGGAAAGTTGACAAATTCAGTATGCACCTGACGCCTTATGTATAACTTATCATGATAATCGCTTTTTGAAATGCCTTCAGTGCACAGCTATCCAACCTGAAAAAATTAGGTTGCCGTTCAAATACATGTTGGAAACTGTAAATATTGATACACATGCTCTACTATGTTAGATTGAATATTTTAACACCCCAACGTTACCTACATACAGAAAAAGACAACTGTGACCCGTCAAAAAAACTACGCGGAGGAAACTTAGAATTCATGAATATTTAGGACTGTCCATGAAGACAATATTGTGCCCGCCAAGTGGATAACGCAGTTCGGGGAGGGCTATGACAACTACGAGAATCATGCAATACCAAGACAACTATCGACATCCTTTGTTTGCAAAACACGAATGGAATGCTGTCTTCCATGCGTTTCGGATCATTACTGATGAAACAAATCTTGGAAAAGTCTATCCAGACTGTACTAATAGAATATTTAAAGTTCAGGAATGATCAGATCCCCAAAAAGTGTAACTTCCGAGGAGTAACAGAGATTTCTCGAACAATGGGGATTTAAATAAGTGTATTATTACAAAAAGGAATTATTGAGAAAGAGATAAGATTGCCACACCCTAAATTTTTTAAAAATTAATTGTACGACAGTCTACTACAGTCCTTAGTTGATTTATTGTATGTGAATCAAACTAGGTTTGTTTGCTTAGATCCTATCAAATAATTTGTAGTACCCAATCAATTTAGTTTGATTTTTTACATAAAAGGAATTGTTCAGTACAAAACTATGTATTGACATGTATACGTCAGTTACTATGAAGACTTTAAATTACCTAATTTTTCATCGATAAACTATAACTCCTACAGATAAAAGCAATTATGATGACATTTTTCCATTCGATATTTTCGTGAACACCTTTGTCGTTATTTGATAGGTTGTTCTTGATAAATCTTCTGACTGAACGTTTGAATCGGTTTCCAAGCTCTTCTAATAATTCCAGGCTAACTCCATACTACAACTTGAACACGGGAGGAAAGGCGCGTAATACGGGAAGAACGCTTTACTCCAAGGTTAGCTTATGTACAGAAAATCAAGTGTATTTATAACATATCAGATTGTCTTGGGCCTCTGGAAAGTTCTAGAACCCTATTAAACATAGTAGCAGGGTAAACAATAATCTAATCACAAATGTAACAAGTGACTCTTAATTTTCTAGATGTTTCTGAGAAGCTTCTAATAAATGCTGATTAAATAAAATGTTTCCCAGCGTTTTCAGGACACATGTGGGCTATTTTCGAGGAATTTTCTGGGTCTCCCAACAGTTCTTGTGTTTAGCCTGTTAATTTTACTATGCTCCAAAATCATTGCAAACTATTCGATATGCTGACTAATTCCATTAGAAACTTGATTTCTTGAACAACAAGCTTCTTTTTGTCTGCCTAACTTCCCTCTGTTTTCTATTGCATTGAGGATTATTGTTGAAGAGTTATGCATGTTAGTTATCTAATCTATCAAGTTTACATAGATTCAGTGTATTATATTAGGAAAATATCTTAATCGTTAATAATCAGGAATTAGAGTAGGTGATCGTAAAGCATAACATTAACTCGCATTTAACAATTGAATGAAAAAAATAAAAGCAGTAGCAACCAAACACATTATGAAATTATTGATTATCAGAAATGAACTAACAATCGCATAATTTTATTTGTTAATCACCAACACGAGAAAGAAAAAAACACGGATTTTAATAATACAAGATGCTAATCACTAGCATTTATAGTTTTATTAACACTTCATCTTGATTGTCAGCGAGAAATATTCTTTGTAAAAATACATGAATCGAAAAGATAAGAGCAGAAGAGAGACAGAAAGAATAACAATGGTAAAAACCTCGAATAAAAAAAGTAGACAAACGCACTGAATCGTATCAACAACCACATACACGTAAGAACATAAAATATACGAGAAAGAAAAGCCAAAAAGAAAAATTTAATGTGATTGATTACCACACAGAAATAAATAATAGACTTGACAATAAAAGTTTATTAGCACCAGCATTTAAAATAACACAACTCTGTAAAAAGAGAACTACAAGACAACAATAACCAAGATTTAAAAAACAACTTCAAATATAGTAAGTGAATAAATAAAACAGTTAATGACAAACTGATGAACACTTTTCCCTTTGAAGATATCTAATTTACGAAAATCAAGGAAAACTCCGAAAAAAGATAATTTTGTACAGGAAATATGATAACAACAATAACTAATTATATGCAATTCAAAATTATCCTCAGCTTAGAGTACACATTCATGAAGATAGTTTCTCTGCTCAACAAAGGAAAAAACCAAAACATTCAATACGAATCTACGATGACACTGATGTTGTTACTTCAAAATGGTCAGTTATTAGAGAAGACAAAACTGAAACAAGAGAGAAATAAAATGAAGTTGAGTGTTTCATTTTTTTCAAAAAAAAACAGGAAAGAAGCAGCTACACACCTATACATGAATGAACGAAGAGTTGGTCATAATGACACTTTTCAAAAATCTACAAGAATCATCATGTCAAATGAAAAATGAGATAACAGAAATTACCAATAAACAAATAAAAATAATCAATTGCATTTTTGAAGTTTAAAAAAATTTGATAGCAGAAGTACAATGAAACCCGTGCACATACATTAAAACATTATTAAAGTTTATATATACGCAATACATAAGTAGATATACACAAACAGATACTAATAATGGGAAGAAGTAAACAAGAAAAAAAAGAACAATGAGCACTAATTATCTATTTTCTTGTTTAATTAATTAATTTTGGCATGAAATTTTGCAGTTTCATTTTGAGTAATTTCCGAAAATAAACAAACTGAATTTGAATAGCCACACTACAAGGAGAGAGAGAGAAGGTAATATTGGATTCTATAAAAGAAATTATACAAATACTATGATTAAAGCTTTATGTATACACATACACAAATACAAAAACTAAGTTTAATTAGCGACCGTCCAGTCATGAAGAAAGTGTATTCGACGATATATGAAAACTGAATAGTGGAATTCCGCAATATGATACTAAAAAATTTAAAGAAAAAAATCAGTAGGCATTATTCAGATTAGAAACAAAGAAAAATTTAAAATGTATAACAAGTTATTTATTGAAAAAAATTATCATTACACTAACACGAATATTATAAGTATAACAACAAGGGATTGATTCCTAGTTAAGTCATGGATGCAAAGTGCTAAGAAATCTTATACCAGGACGAAACGGCTCATCAATACTTCCTGGTTTATAATTCGACAGAGAGAAAAAACAAACCACCGAATTAGTTAAATTGACTACGACTAAGCTCACAGGACAGACCCCAAATCCCAAGCAAATAAATAGATTATTAAAAACAGAACCACTGGCCGAGCGAGGTTTTGAATACAACAAACAATAAATTAGGGTTATAATTTATAAATAAACTATTTAACCAAAATAGTATAACCATGAGTTACTTGTAACGTGACAAACTTTTAATTAATGATAACTAATTATATGTAGTTGTGTACAACGGATGATTACCAAAAGCTTCTGTGTATATCATTATAAATAATGACATACAGTATGCAGTATTCTGTTCTACTCGAAGTAAAGAAATCGAGCATTTAATCCAAGATATCAAGATAATACACAGTATATAAAAAAATGAGAAAACATCATTAAACATGTACATATATGACTCAAATAAGTCTACTTTAGAAATACTGATAACCACAACACTTCAAAAGGATTTAGTTAACTTGAAAATTTTTAGGAAGCTGAACATGAATCCAACTAATCACGGTCACTTTTATATCAACTAAAATTTTCAAATATCAGTAGGGACCATTAATAGAGACATCCTACTATGAAAGCGGATATTTCACTACACTGTTCATAATTCCTAATTTCACAAGATGATAGTATAGCATAGGTTAAATAATTACAATGTTTGCTAACAGATACCACATTATGACGAGAGAATTTGATCGTAACCTGTGGTGCATGCTACTTATGTTAAAAGATATCAGTAGTATGCAACACCAATCAGAAGTAGAATGCCTGATAGCAGAAGAATGAAAAGATCGAATTGAAGTCAACAGGAATTTAAATAGAGAAAAATTGTAATGAAAACAGGAATTAAGGAATGATGAAATTTGTAGGATACAAGTGATGCAAGATGTGCAAATAATGTATTTAATACATGGTTTTCATATTTTACAAAGACACTGTAATTTGCATTATACAATAAATTGGTTTTCCCCACCAAGTTTGCGTTCACCACAATCCAACACCAAATTCATAATTATGATGAACAAATATTATTTGTTTCTCCACTGTAATCATGAACACGGAGTGAAGTGGATCTACAGATCAAGTTTACAGTTAAAGCATATGTTATTCCATACATACAATTACGATTCATAGAAAAATGCAGCTCTATGCGTGTACGTGACATTTTAATGAAGTGAAACAAAATACTGCTGCCACCATATATATAATTATGAACAATACTACAATAGACGGAAACTTTCTGAAAAATCCTTCTAATAAAAAAAGATACAACTGACTACTGAGTGAAAAAATTAATCAATAGTAAATAGGTTTGTACTATAAGGCTACCACAGCATTCTTATGTACATAACCAGACAAACAAACACACAAATACATAAGAGAAAACGAGAGATGGTTTTAAAAAAATAACGATCGAAATGGAAATCACAACTATTGTGTTTTTCTAGATAGCGTTTTGGTGTGAATGGTTATACAAAATACTAGAACATTGACAGACGGCGGTAAAAAGACACTCGATTGTTAATAACAAACACTAATTTAACGCTTAGAAATCATATTTAAATAATTATCATAGGCAATCAGCTTGTAAACTAATTTCGGACACATGCAAACAGCAATTCAAAATTATATATATATATATATATATATATATATATATATATATATATATATATATATATATATATATATATATATATATATATATAAAGTCATGAACAACCTATGTTAATTTAATCAGACAACATACATACATGTTACTTTCACATGTATGTATGATAAGCAAACGAGGAAAATGTAGTACGTCGAATAAAAAACGTCGGCAGGTTCACACTACCACATTTGTTACAGCATAGCACAGCGCCATACATGACACGATCTCCTCAACATAACATTAATATGTATTTATGGAACTATTTTTTTTTAACTTTTAACTCAGTTATATTCACCTGACAACGAACAATAAAGAAAAACCATGAAATTTATTATTAATTGTCATTGAAAACTCTCTTTTTTAAGTGCATATATACAGTCCCTGAAGTGGGGTCAAGACATTTGGTTTAGAGAAGTAATTTACATACTAACAGATAGGAGATCTAATAAATTCAGTGACAAAAAATCGATGAAAGTTTACCAGCTATGAAATTGATGAATACGAATTTATGCTAAAAGTAACTAATGCAACATACCACAGAACAAACTGAATAAAAAAAACAGTAGTTCAAACACTAAAATATACCAAAACTCAGCTTTATTCAGTCGAGTATTGAATAGGATGAAGCGGAAGATGTTAGAATTACACGAAAGCGGCAACATATAATATAAAGAAATGGTAGATGCATCGATTACACTTCCTTGGAATTCTTAAGTAATTTATCGTTTTTTCGGCATACAAAAATTTCTTTGTCATCAGTAATGCTATTTTCATAGTGAACTATTTTATTCGATTTAGTTTTTCCCCTAAATTTAGCGCAAAATACATTCGACATATATATTTAAACGATTATTTTTGTAGCATTAGTATACCAAATATGCATCTATACTAAAAGACAGTTTGAATACAAAAAATAACATTAAAACTTCCTTATCTAGTGAAAGCATGTATTCATCAATGAGAAACCTCTTTACATTAGACAATACAAACCGAAAAACCTGATTCAACTGAATCCTACTATACATTATATGATTCCTGTTGGTTTTTGGAGGTCAATACACATTAACGATATATACTATCTAGCATAAACTTTTATTTGCCGCTTTTCCAAATGACTATCAAGAAGTCAATCAAAAAGTATAATTTCATGCAGTCGTCGTTGAGCTTAAATTTTTTGTATACAGACTAATGATACTACCGGACTGTTCGTGCTGAACAGGAAAGTTAGCCAATGCAAGTACTAATACTGATTCACAATTTTAAAAAGTGAATTTAGTCCAGAGTAAGGTTATAAACAATGAACAAAGGAAATGATTAAAAAGGAACTGAAACTATCAAGCAAATTGAATTTATATAAAAGTAAGTGAAAATATTACCAAGAATGTCAGTTATAATCTAATACTTAGTACTAGAATTAAGGTCCTTCGCATTATTACTAATGAATGCCTTGTTTTCTATACAAGTTCTAGTGTAGGCTTATAAAAACCTGAAATATTAATTAGTGATATTGTAGTGCATGCCACTTATTTTAAAAGATATCAGTAGTATGCAACACCAATCAGAAGTAGAATGCCTGATAGCAGAAGAATGAAAAGATCGAATTGAAGTCAACAGGAATTTAAATAGAGAAAAATTGTAATGAAAACAGGAATTAAGGAATGATGAAATTTGTAGGATACAAGTGATGCAAGATGTGCAAATAATGTATTTAATACATGGTTTTCATATTTTACAAAGACACTGTAATTTGCATTAAACAATAAATTGGTTTTCCCCACTAGACTCCTTCGTTCACAACAGTATGATTACAAGTCTTCGTAGATATATACTCACTATATCCCAATTGAATAACATGAAAACATAACGCTATCTTTGTCATGGCAAACCTATAATTCAGTGTTTTAAATTTCAGCATTCATATTACTAGTACTACTACAAACAAATAAGTTAAATATGATTTTCCTATCATACTTAGACCAAGTAATAAAAAAATCTTGTCAACAAGAAACAACCATGTTTACGCATATATATATATATATATATATATATATATATATATATATATATATATAGAGAGAGAGAGAGAGAGAGAGAGAGAGAGAGAGAGAGAGTTAATAAACATACTAGCTTCGGAAACAAGGAAACTTCCGAATTATGTGAATAACATCGAACAATATTCAAAACGATTTTGATATGTGGTCGACAGTCACTAGAATACGTAGAAAAATGATAACTAAGTTTAATAATGATAATAATAAACATGAAAAAATAAACCCATCTACATATAGAAATACCCCTTACTTTAAACGAACAAAAATAGGAAGAATGAGATGGAGAAACAGACAAACCGTCATCACATAAACAGCATCAAACAAAAACAAGCTACGTAACTAATAAGAGGAGAGAAGTCAAATAAGCCAAACATAATCATGTATGAATACAAAAAAGGATACAGTAAAAACAAAAAACAGATATGTTCTTATTGTCAAATCGTTAAAAGTATAACATTGACGACATTGGGTGACTTGTCAGCCACTCAGAGAACGTTGCCTAGTTATAAAAGAAGTAACGATACAAAGCAATGAAATAACAGTGGGATTAGGGTGCATACTAATTACGCTGACAAATATATGTAGTATATAGCGGCAATCGGATGTGGAATGCCTGGTAGCAGAAAAGTGAATTGGAGAGAACAGAAAGGGAAACAGAATAATTGTCATGAGAACAGAATTGAAAGAATCATGAAGCATGTAAAAGATAACTGTCGGAAGATGTGAAAATAATGCATAGTTTTCATATTTTACTAAAACTGTGTAATTTTGCATTAAACGATAAATCAGTTATCCCCACCAAGTCTTCGTGCACCACAAAATAACTGCTTTGATGGAACAATTAGCCCTCATATGTCAAATTATCCCATGTAGTAAAGAAAAAGTCATGCTTGCAAATCTACATGCATATTGGGAGTTGTGCCAGTGTTGTCACCTTATGGAGTTTTCGTCACCAACTGACACCAGTTATGACGCAAAAGGGTTAGGGTTAGGTACTAAAAGTCAAACTGAAGTCTCGAGTCAGGCTTAAAAATAAGGGTCGGGGTTTTCAACACGAACTGACATCAGCTATAATACAATGCTCTGCCATCTTTCTATTTACAAACTTAAGAAACTTTGGGTTGGATTCGGAGTAAGAGTAAAAAAGGAGCTTTATTCAACACTCTTGGTTACGCAATGAACGAAATCAAGTACTTTACCATACAATCTGCCTTAGTACCGGGTATGTTACGTAATTTAGTTCGAGCACCACCATTTCTAGTTGCATAGTAGATATTTTTATAGATTTCAAGCATTTTAAGAATCAAATACTGTCAAATTTCACTTAGTTAATAATAAGATATAAGTTATTCGTCGCTGCACTGTACATTTCCCTCAATATATATGAGCCATTATCGTTATTCTGATTGCTTAAACCAATTAGTATATTACGATTTTACCGTCAAATCTTTAAGCTATATTCTTTTCCATTTAAAAAAAGAATGAAGAATATGACTCAATACTTATCGTCCATACATTATGCAATATCAACTGATAAACATTAATAATAAAAAAGAATATAGGGAAAATGAAAAATATATACTAGAAAACAAAAAGGATATGACGTAGCTAAGAGAAGAAAGAGGTCGACATCTCTAATATTTATGTATATAATCATACACATATTTCTTAAATAGATTAAAAAATCGAAATTAATTCAGATACAATTTGAATTATTTCTTGATATGACGAGTACAAAGAAGAGGTCTTAATTGATTAGAAATTGAGGGACTTAAAAACTAATTTTTTCCCAGGTCATTTTATCATGTTGATTTCGTGTTAATGTTTTGTATGTCATTTTACCACCTAAAAATAAACCTATTCTTCTTGCTAGTGGTTTTATATTTGATTTCAATCCAATCGGGGACTTATGTTAAAAATTCGTTCTCGTGAGCAACCAACACTATCACATCGTATTATTGAGTTTATTTATGGACACATGTTTTTCTTCATATTAACGGTCGGAAAGACTCGCTCACCAAATAATGAAAGCGTTCTCATCGTAACTTATATGGTTTGAACTATTTAGTCAACAAAATAGTTCCAACCTTATTAATAATAATTTCTAGGAACAAGTTAAACTATTTACATACAGCAGGAAAACAACGTATTCAGAATAAAACGTACAATGAAAGACCAATCAAGCAATATAAAAAGCAGCACAAACGTGTATTAGTCCACGTTGCCATATTACAGCAGGAGGAAGATAAAATGTGAGAAAACAAAGTAGACAAAATGATAAAGCCAAAAATAGCAGAAAATTGGATATAAAAATTTTTTTTTCAAGGAAACAGAATAAAAATAAGTTTCAGAGAAAGATAAAGAATACATGAATTTTTAACATGCATACCGATTCTTTGCTGTTCAAAAATTATAGTTAGTTAGTGGATCAGTAAAATGTTCTGAAGCTAGGTTTCTTGTTAAATGTCACTCTTCAACAAACCATACTCACATATCTTAGTCGAAAAACCAGATCAATATCAAAGAATTACACTACTACTACTAAGTGCTCAGTCAATGTAGAACTATATTTTTAAAAAATCTCTAAGAAATCTGTTAACATAGTATCATTTGATAATTATTATAGAAGATTAAAAAAACGGACAGATAAATTTACAATTTGAATAACAGTATTATTATTATCATTACTAAAATACCTACATTAATTGTTCACAAATCTGAACGAGCTTCAGTGAATCGGTTGCGTACTAGAAATCTAGCCAGGCATTCCGCAACCTAAATAAAATAAAAAATTATTTTATTAAAAAAACTATAAATTATGCGGAAATAATTGTTTTAATCGATTAGGCAAGATATAAAACAACTAATTATACTGTCAACGAAATACAAAGATATACGAAACTAAAGCATTTTAATATGGTATATATATGAAAAATTCGATAGAACAATGCAATGGTTAAGTCTAAATTATTGGAATATATCTCCAATTGTATTTTATTAAAAAGTGAAACATAACGACTCAGACGAGACAAAAAATAAACAATTGACTGCATTGAGATCATGAACCGATCAATGTTAGATCACCATTGAAAACCTGGAAGCACTAGACTGCGCAAGATCGTGGATTGGTTGAAGTTAGACATTAACACCATTGACCACGAGTCAGTGATAAAACAAAGTAAATATATCAGTCACAACCCAGATAGCTTATTAGTGACGTTTTAGTACAACAGGGAGTGCCAGTTCCTTCATTATTATAGGAACGTTTTGTTAACTAATGCCAGCTAGCACGAAACCTATCTCCAGAATTTCTTGTTCACTACCTCCAACTAACAAACATTAAATCATAGTACATATCATATGGAGTCCCTTAGATTGTTGGTCATATTTTAACTTGATCAATGGAATTCGATCAGTGCTAAAGGACTACACAAACACAATGTTGGCCACTACTCAGTGATAAAACAATCTAACTTAAATATAGAATTCTAAGGACTATGACTATAGTATTCCGACTTATTTGCTCCAAGGATAAGATGTTCAACACAAATACGAATGATTGGACTATGGTTGCGTATTTCATTTCAGTGTCAAACCAAGACGAAAAACGAATCTAGTTACTTTTTCCATAAAAGCATTTCAACATCTGACACGAACAATGCTCACTAGGATGTTAAGTTGCATACTTTTTGTTGTTTTAAGTGTACATACAATTTTTTTTTCCAAAAAAACAACCTTACTCCTATATTTAAACATTTCTAGATACATACTTTCATCTAAGGAAAGAGATACAAAAAACAACACAAATAAACAAAACGATACACATATAAGTGCATAAGTATAATCATTAACTAAATGATAAGAAATTAGAATAGAATACAAGAGTGACACTGATATAACATTCATAGATCTGGAAAGCATCTGTCAAAATGACATAATATATTTGGCTATACGAGACAAAAAGTGAACGATAGTGGATTTGTAGTTGAAAACTGAGGTAAGCTAATAAATCGACTTGTTTGGGGTGAGGTGTGATAATCCAGATAAACAGTTCACTTCACTTTCGATTTAAAAAATTAATTTTTTACAAAAAATCTACATAATACGGATCAATGTACCTAGAGTTGTGTTACAGTCAATAATACTTTATGGTTGGCTAAACCCGTGCAACCGCAGTGTAGGTAGAATTTATGACCATGAAATAAAAAATCAGATGTATTGACTACTAGATATACAGACACCTAATATCACAACACAAATGTCACCCGTCACTAGACAACATACATAATTATGTCAACACAAAAATAGGAAAATAATGAAAAAGCTACACAACAACTGTTAAATACTTTCCAATACATCAACAAGCACCTAATGAGGAAGACAGAAAGAAACCATAACTTACTCTATCTGGAGTATCCTCTTGAACGGCATGACCAGCACGAGGGAACAGTTGAATCTGAAATTTACCTAAAAATAACTGCATTGTATGAATATAAATTGTATAAAGTATACTTGAGGGATGAACCAAACAGAATTGAGAATTTGAATTAGAGTGCAGATCAAATATCACGTATAACGAGTATTAGAAATACATTTCTAGACTCAAAATATTTAAAGTGATAGCCAAAAATAGGTTTTTGTCACCACAGAGTAAAAATGATGGCGTTGAGTGAATTAAAAATTCAGTTCTTTCTCTGTAAATTGTATGCAACACACAATCGACACTGTGTCTAAATTCTAACCTTAAACATCCAATACAGAAAAAAGTCTTGAACTGGTGACACTATATTTCATGGACAACCTAGTCAGACAGTACCTCTTATAATTTTGCATGAAATTCATTCACCCATATAACTATAGAACACTTCGTGTTATGCCTGATGTCAGTTTGTGTTGAAAAACCTAACCCTAAATACTTAATCCTAACCAAGGACGATGTGTGGAATCTTTACAATCTTTTTGGATCTCTATAAGTGTTCGAGAACAAGTATAATCTACATTCGCATGAACGAGCTTTTATGTATTAGTTTTCTTTCGATTTACAGAAAGAGTAACGTACCTGTGGTAGATGTTAATAAATTCAAAATTATATCAAATTTGTTTGCGCTTAGTTATATTATTGTTTTCTTCTCCACAAACTATCCATTTACAAAACAATTTTCTGAATGGTTGAGAATTGACTGGATTTATTTTTAGCTCGTTCCTATAATATACTGTCTTCATATAAACGAATCAAGAGTACACAAATTGTCTAATTTTTTTGTATTCAATGACTTCAAAAACCTTTCTAGGCCTATGTCAAATGTAGATAAATAACTAAAAACCTTAATGCAGATAAAAAAAAGTACTAAATACACACTGATAAATGATACAATGAATGAAATACTAGAATAAACAATGCTAGGTTTATATGGTGAAACAGTTATCTTCAAATATAGGCTAGGATAATCACCTGAGTACCAATCAGGTAATAGTCAGTACCTACCTACACGGCTCGTACAACCTGAATATCAATATTGATGACAATAATACATATCAGTAACATTACGAATTAAATATTAATGTACTTATCAATTCATTATTTATAACTGAACCACTAACAAAAATTAGGTATATGTTCAAGAAATCAAGTAGCATTTTGTTTTATATCCTTCTGAAAAAGATATACTGCAGCATATAAATATAAATATAACAGATATGAGTTTAATAAAAATATATAAACATTTGATTTCAGATATACGTTTTATACAGTGGGATTAATTTATCATACGGGATGCTGGTTATTAGTGTGGTGCTATTCTTCGATTTGCACTGTTCACCATATCATTATTCATAAAAAAAAAGAGATGATTTATGCTTATTTTAGTATTTCAGTTATAAACTTATCCATAAACTCCAGAGAATAGCTCTTTTCGTTTGAGCATCGTTTTTTAGACGACACAGAAATCTCTCATTCTGGTTTCTTTCAACTGAAATGTCTTAACTCAGAAGAATATAAACTTGTTTATCACTAAAAAAAAATATTAAAACTGGGATATTAATTAGTGCGGTTGATTTTTAGAAAAAAATATTATTCATGATCCTTAGCTTTAGAAATATACAAGATACAGTCAAAAGAAATTCATGACACAAAATATAAATCTTAACATTCTTTACACAATATGGTTCATGCGTTAACTCATCAACATACACCTAATATTTAATCAACATGAACAGAATAAGTGAACGAATCGTGTAAGATGAAATGATACAAAGTGATATTAACGTTAATGTTATTAAGTATATTAATTTTATTACCTGCCCCAGCTAATCTCCAAACCTTAAGCACTAAATATGACTTGAACCTAGAATAAGAATCTATATATCTTGTTTGTATTTTATTTTTTTAATTGAACACATAAATATTGGTACAAAGGGACACCGAATAAATATGCGCCACACAAGTCACTTGATTTGTGTGTGGGCTGTGATACTGTCTGTACTGTATTTAAATCATAATAATCATAGAAATTCACTGGTATATTTTGCTAAAATAACGACAATAATAAGACAAAAAATTTAATACAAACCTTGCATTTGTCCAATGGTTAAATCTTTATCCAATCGATCAGCATCAGCTAACAGAAGTAATTTTGGTTCAGGTATTGATAAAAATAGTTTAGACAAACCAGAAAACCATCCTTGCCAAAATGGTTGTGTTTTAATTAAATCTATTCGCCAAGTATACTGTGGACGATCCGACTGACATGTTACCAAACCAGAATGTTTTGAAATAGTAGAAGAGTCAGTAAAAGAAGGTAGTGTACTACCACTTATTGAATGAATAGATTCTCCAATAAACTGACTGGAAAACTTAGATGAATCCAACGATACATTTTCTGTATTGTATTGTAAACTGTCAGCATCATTATGAAAGCTAGGAAGCTATAAAAGTATGTTTAAGCAAAACACGATCTAAACAGAATGTGACATATAACTTAATGAACAATACACAAAGATGTGAGAAACGTTTAATAAAATCAATCGCATAGAGTCAAGTCTTTACCAACTAAGAGTAATAATGAAATTTAAAAACTATACCATTTGTACGAACGGAATGACATCATGCCTTCTAGCTTACAAAGAGGTCTCTAAAATAAAGAACCATAATTGTGACAAAATTTCGAACAATTCCATGACATTATAGGTAGTGTCTCAGCGACATTTCCAATAAACTAATAACCCATGTAAGTCTTTTATTATACGTCTATAATATAATTTAACGTATTAAATCATAGTCCTATTGCACACCAAAGATTAAATTGTACTAAAATACTTAAAATTGATATGCACCTTAGTCTCACCGATTGATCTAGGTAAAAATGTATCAAATGTAGGTAGTTTTCGTGAACATCCCTGTTTCCTGATATCTTAAAGACAATAAGATAAATAACTTATTTAGTCCAATATATTCATAATAGAATTTTGATGATCCAGACTATTTAAGGTAAAGTTGCCAGTACAATACTTTGATATTAACTTGTTGATCCATTGATTTCTTTGTCTGAATTGATGGATATTAAGTACGCCATGAATCACATAAATCGGAATATGTTACCGCTTTATTTAGTAAGGATACAAAAAACCCGTTAATTAATTGAATGAAAGTATTACGGCAGAATCCTCCATTGATTATTTTAGCTTTGCATTGTGACGGAGTTGAACTATAATATCGATGGTATATAAATGATTATTTCTCATCAGTTTTGAAACGGTGCTTTTCCTATAACTATAAACATGAAGGTAACCTAGACCCATCCTTCCTAAAGCTATTCAATCGTTACTAAACCTAAGCTCAAGCCACTAAAGGCCTCTAAACAGGAAAACCACGGACTATTTGTTCTCTATAGTATCTATTGACGAGACAATCAATTACAGCTGTTAGAAAGATGTGAGTAGCAATGAAATAAGTTTTAACCAATTATCGAACTCGTTATACCCAACAACGAATGAACTATTTCAACACAAATGATGACAAAGAAACTCGGAATTTCAACACAAATCTTTCCATTGACAACTAATAGAAGCCAAAACAGTTTCTCAAGGAGATGTACTATTTTTTTCTTATCTTGCATATTATCTGTACAATAAGCGCCAGATGCTCCTGATAATTATAAGGAAAACTCCATCTTATGTATCAACTTAATTTTAACCATTGAAATTTTTATCAAAATGCTGACATCATTTGTTCTTGTTGACACAAGCCTGTTAGGAGGATAGTTCCTTTGATTAGTGAATGCTTGCGTCGATATCAGGTAGGGGCACGTTGATCGGCACATTTTCAATCAATCAGCTCTAGCGAGTGCATTGAGAAAACAATAAATTCCAGTGTTAATTCTACATAAATGCTAATGTTCGTACTACATAATTTTTTGCAATCCGAATTTCTGAGGTATACCTTCGTTCGCTACTGGTCGAGTGAAGTAACGTGTCCAAAAAAATATTAGGCAGTAGAAAGTACAACAATCGTAAGTCATAAAAACGACTGGTGACAGAAACAGCTCCCTTTACAATATCTTCATACCAGTCACAAACCTCAATAGAACCCCCCTTTCTATAGTAAAACAATATTCGGAAACAGAGGTCTAATTCGAAATTTCTCATTCTAGCCCTATGAAATATTAAATCAAGAAGTGTTTATTTTCACCGAAAACGTAACTTCAAACATGAGTTCGATAATCCTCACCTCAATGTGCGAGTAACAAACAAAAGCGAGAGTGATTAATGACGTCGATATCCGCATGAAAATCCTAGAATCGAGGTAAGTGTCGAGAATTCTGTCAATATTAATACAGTTATATTGACCGCTTATCTTCGGAAAACGAAATTCAATGTAAGATTTCGTACTTTTCATTCTTCGAACACATTCGATTCTTTTTATACGTTATACTTTTTATTGCATTCCTAATTGTTTTCCCACCCTTATTTTATTTATTTCATCATCCACTGACTGTGTAAACGTGGAATGTAACAGTGTGAACTGATACATATTCATGTCAAGTCGCACACGATGTCGATGACTGACTGACGCAAAATAAGCAACAAAACAGAATACAATTTTGTACAACTTTAGCCAGGGATGGATGTGAATTATCAAAAGGGGGAAATACATATAAATTGCTGGACAACGTTTTTTATTAACTAAAATCAACCAGTTGATGAGTAAAAGAACGGAAGCATTTAAGATGAAAACAAAAAAATTAATTACCAATAAGAGAGCTATACACAATGAGCAAAAAACGACAACCGAAGTAAACTCAACACGCCCACAACCACAATAGCACCAAATTTATTCTCACTGAAAATACAAAAGACGATTGAACGTATACTTTACCAATAAATATCTATTAGGAACGAAAACATTTCTAGTTATATAACTCGATAAATGAAATGGTGACGTACATAAAAATAAGAAATAAATATAACTCACACTTGTTGAATTTTGATCAACTTCTAAATTATTTTCAGAATTGATTTCTGAACTTCTAGAGTTATCTAGTTCTGAATCTTCAACCAATGGCTGACTTGATAATCGACTTACAGAAGAGACTCTACCATCTAGCGTTGAAGTTACGGAAGGAATAGACGGAACAGTTTTAGAAAGAACTGCGATCCCTGAATCTAGTTCGCTTGTTGCAGTCTGACCACTTGTGATACGCTTTAATTGACCAGGGAAAGACACACGAGCTGAATTTACATTACGTATTTGCGAACTCCGAACACTTGAAAATAAATGAAAAATAATTACATAATTAATGTCAGCAGCTTTATACTGGTGGAGATTATCCAATCGATGACATAATCACCTGGAGGTTTACTTTACCAGGACAACTAACTTAACAGGATGAGATAAGACAAAACTCAGCAAGCATTTGAAGATATGGCACCGAAAAAACAATTGGTTGAAAAACCGTATTAATGAACACGTAACTTCAATTATCATATTTTAAAACTGTACAGTGAGAAGACTGTATAAACACCGAACAAACACTTTCGGTGATAATTGGAGAAGCACATAGTCAGTTGATATCATCCGCCTCGATTTGATTTATTTTGGAGAGCGTAGTGATCAAGTTGAGACATAACAACGAATCATATGCAGACCAGCAAGTCTTATAGCATTGATAAGTGACCGAATAATACAAGTATATTAGACGGAAATCTCTCCATATGGTATGAATAAAAACACTTTCTATTCCAATTTAACTGTACGTAAAAAATTCTAGCCGATAATATTTGTCCAGCTTATACCTTTCTTTGAAATATTTTATTCCTGGAGTTAGTTAAATTTTGCTTTCTTATATTAGTGTAACAACCGGTAGAAGAGCACTGCTATATCAGATTTCAATCAGTCACTTATATTGTAGACAAAAATAAATTTTACGAAAACTGTGTTAAAGGTTAATCTGTAGCAAAGAAGGTCTCCGAAGGTTAATTAAAACTTATGAACGAAATTTAAAAGGAAATTATAATGATTTCAGAAAATAGACCTTTTAAAAAGAGAAAATAACAGACGAATTTAAAATAACTGTGATGAGTTTTCAGTCAGTTCTCAACCATTCAGAAAATTGTTTTGTAAATGGATAGTTTGTGGAGAAGAAAACAATAATATAACTAAGCGCAAACAAATTTGATATAATTTTTGAATTTATTAACATCTACCACAGGTACGTTACTCTTTCTGTAAATCGAAAGAAAACTAATACATAAAAGCTCGTTCATGCGAATGTAGATTATACTTGTTCTCGAACACTTATAGAGATCCAAAAAGATTGTAAAGATTCCACACATCGTCCTTGGTTAGGATTAAGTATTTAGGGTTAGGTTTTTCAACACAAACTGACATCAGGCATAACACGAAGTGTTCTATAGTTATATGGGTGAATGAATTTCATGCAAAATTATAAGAGGTACTGTCTGACTAGGTTGTCCATGAAATATAGTGTCACCAGTTCAAGACTTTTTTCTGTATTGGATGTTTAAGGTTAGAATTTAGACACAGTGTCGATTTGTGTGTTGCATACAATTTACAGAGAAAGAACTGAATTTTTAATTCACTCAACGCCATCATTTTTACTCTGTGGTGACAAAAACCTATTTTTGGCTATCACTTTAAATATTTTGAGTCTAGAAACGTATTTCCACTGCTCGCGGAATTCTCGATCCTGATTAGCTTATTTTCTTACTATACTTTTACCGACTTTTATTCGCAACAAACAGATATAACTTTTCCTGTAGTGGCGATGGCAAGCAGTAAGAATAAATGTTCAAATACTGAACAGGAGTCAACATGTATATGCAATATGATTAAAATCAAGAATATTACTAACTCATTTAAAATAACTCCCTTGAAATTCATGAAAACAAAGGTCATGAACAAAATGTAATAACGTCATATAGAATTTGATTTTATACAATTTAACACCGCATATAATTGATATAGTGTGAAAGTAGATTATGTGCTTTATTGAAATTTTGATATAAGGTTGACTCAATTGTTCTAAAAACAACAAATGCTAAACATAAGCAATAACAGTGTTCTATCTCTTAGCAAAATAATATACGTTCAATAAGTGTTAATCAGTAGTTTCAAATGAAGTTATATTATCGTTACAATTTAGTAACCACAGCAAAGGAGTAAATAATTTACAACAACATTTGCAACAAAAATGTTAAAAGTCCTAGATCCCCATCTAAAGTGATTATCATACTGAATTAAAATAATATATCTGAGCGAAAATTGTTTATACTCTCACCGATAATAATAACTACCGAACAGCATATCAGAAATCAACACAAATAAAAGGCTGAAGTAACTTAAAATATATCAACAAAAAATAGTAAACAAAGAAAAGATTATATTTAACACTGACAAGAATAAACTCCATTCAGAAAGTCACTATTAAGGGTGGAAAACTGTGCAGATGACATAATTGCGAAATACGTTACTTAATAATGAATAAGTAATTAACTAGAGCCTAAAGTTCCAACAACAGTTCAATGTGAACATCTAGCTTTCGAGCTACAAAAATCCAATTACTAAGCTCACAATAACATTACTACTTCAGCTGAACGTTTGTTGAAAACTTGTAAATGTGGAACCCAATCAATCATCTCATTATCAAAGCAATTTTGCAACAGTAAAGAGCAGGAACTTAAAAAAACTATTAGAAGTACACGTTTATGTCACTTGATCACATGGATATACCAACTGATGGTGTATGCAATTAATCGGATATTTAAAGCTTAAAAGTACGCCCTTACACGGAGATGTACTTTATGCTATGAAGAAAAATCTTTTTTAAAGCAAAAATGTATCACCTTTACAAATTATAAAAATAAAAACATAAATAAATATAAGTATATTATGAACACTATTTTGTAGAACTTTATCGCCAGTGTTCTTTCCTATAACAATGTTCAACTAACCTCCACTCAATTGCTTGAGGTAAAGAAAGAAAACTTTGAGGACGACCACGTAAGAAAGCTGTCATGCCACGTAATGAGCTCAAAGCGGATCCTAAAAACATTTTAAGAAATTGATTCTCATGATTAAAACCAATATATGTACTAAGGATACATGTGACTCGTATGCATTAGTTGTAAAACTGATGTTAAATACCTTTAGGTGAATGCTATGTTTACTGTTACGTGGTATATAACCAGAAAGAAATCAGGTCAACCGACAGTTTCGAAATTCTCAAGATTGATAACAATACAGCAAATAATTGAAGCACAGCAACAGAGAACTAAAGAGAACTACTTGCGCTAAATAAATGGTGGTACAAGTGCCATTCATCTATCCCTTACACCAGAATTTGAATGTACGCAAACTTGCTAGTACTCCATAATAATTATGGTTTCGACCTCTCTCCCCAATTATCCTTTCACAACTTGTTTCGCTTGTTAAACCTAATTATGTAAATAACACTAAGGCGAATAATAATATCATCGAGTTTAGATATGCTAGAATTGTTGATGAGATCAAGTCATTTTTAAACAACAAATTAGACTTTGTTGTTAGCTACATATTTCTGTCATGTAGTAAAAGCACACATAATTTAGTAATTTTAAAGGTTTATAAATGGACACGAGCTTTAAAAACTATTGTTTATTAATAAAATATAATTATCTTAAGCTTAACTAACTTCCTGATTAGTTCAGTTGGATTTACCCAGCATTAGACATCCTGATCCTGCCTCGGGGTCAAGGCATGGATGTCAACATGACATTGAGTTTTTAAGAGTTGACTCCTAACTTATGAAACCTATATAATACAGTCCTTGTAGGCGAGAAGAGTAAGTCCCCTATTGTTTGTTGTGTGTTACATTTGTGATTAAACAGTCCCACATGTTTAGTCAATCAGACTCAAAGTGAAAGTAAAAAAATAGTTGTACGATAACCGTATATATATGGAAAATTTCTATTACCTTCAACCACATCAATAACAACAAGACCAGCCAAAGAAGGGATAGTTCGCTTGCATGCCACATGTACTGCTACAGCTCCACCCATACTAAAATAAGAAAAAACAATCTGATTTTTTCAGCTTAGTAACTAATACCACCGAAGATCTGAAAAATATATACCAACCGTGAGCTATGTACATCGAAAGCTATTTACTTTTGTAGAAATATTGATGTCTGCTTCGACTACCACGCAGTAAACAATAAAACTTGGTCAAATAGGTACCAAGACTCGAAATTAAAAAACGGAGTTTGTATACATCGACCATTTTATAACTGTTTGGGAAACGATCTATGTAAAACAGATCCACCAGAAAATTTCCAGTTTTTGATAACCAGAAGATGTGGCTTAATGATTCAGAAGTTCGAATTTTGGCCACTAAGTCTCTGGTCCGAACACAGCTCTACTTACTATTGTTTGTGTAATTTTGTAGCATCCTTAGCCCCTACCTGATGAACAAGTTAATTATTTAGTCCAAAACAGGAGTGATTTGTGAATATCTAAAGACTGATAGGGTGAAACTAAGAGCAATCCTAACCCTTACACGCTGAGGTGATATATATTACAAGGACTTATAATACTTTACCAGTATTTTTACAACTATATGTACTGAGTAAATCATAAAAAACAAATTAAAAGTGATTAACGCTGAAAATGTTTGCAACAAAGCACCAACGTGCTTTTAGGCAATAAAGTTCAATGTAACATACATATATGTTGTACTGTAAACAAAGAACCGATTCAGAAGACGGAATTCTGAGTTGCAACTACACGTCACAGAGACTATATTATAAATTACTGAGCATTGCTTCTGTAAAGAAATATAGAATTACTTTAATGTGAGTAATTGAATGAGAACGATTAACCCGAGTGTGATCCTAAAGGTCTCGAAAGACAAAACACTGGGGCATGAAAAAAATATCGTATCCCTTCACATTACGTTAACGAGATGTACAATATATACTATATTTCTAAACTTCAACAAACTTGAAAGCCAGAAAATCTGACGAGTCCCATATACTGAAGGGTATACTGAAATAACGTATTACGCTATTTGAAGTCTCTACTTACACCTAAACAGTTGGTCACGTAATTTTTGTTGTAGACTTTAGTAAAAAACCCACACGACATGTCGATGGAGTCGAATACTCCCCTTCAGACTACAAAAGATTATAACATCTATAAATTAAGAAATTCTTCATTATTAATCAAATGAAAGTTAAGCTAAGTTTCAGCAGTCTATTCCACTTAGTTACAAGATGAACCCATACTATTTTAGCTAATGTTGTTCGCGACTTCCTTGGTTCTATAGACACACGAGGACAGTTGCATTGTTTTATATTGTTATTTACGTCACAGAAACTGGAGTGACCACTCAAAATACAGCCTAAAGATAAAATACGAGGAGTAAGTAGGATTAAGACGATGAATCAAAGTGTAAAAAGCCTGAAGAACTCCCAACTACATGAGGTTACACAGATGACGTGAACGGAATGCACTAAAATACAAATAAATTATTCCCTAATATTGAAATATTATCCAACACCAGGACCATAAGCCGTCGTTTTGAACAAAAAAAAGTACCCTCTACATCGCTAAACAAAATACCAAAAATCTACGCAGTCACGTTCTTTACTGGCAACCGCAATATTTTAAGTTAATAGCCCACAAACATTTTATCAAGCTTATTAGTTGAAGACGTTAAAACTCCATAAGTACAACTACTTTTCCACCTTATACTGGTTGAACGATTTCTAGAATGGCATGATTATAGCAGCTCAGGGATATTAAGAACCATACGGAAGACGAGTTTGGCATGAAAAGAACGGAAAGCAACACAAATTTTTTTCCCGTAATTTTACATAAAAATTATTCAATAGCTAAACTAACAGACATACGTGGTACAGACCACGATTAAAACGCCTTTATTGTTGTAAGTGGTATAGACCAGTTATTATGGGGAAATTTTTTAATTGATTTCGATTCAAATGGCCTGCTAAATAAACAGTAAAACTGAAAGCAGGTAGTATAAAGAATTTTATGGCTGACACATCCCACAAATGGCCATAATTAAAGAAAATCGCACTTCTGAACAAAAGCTACTAAGTATTATGTGAATGAACGTGCATTAGTCTTTTTATCTAAGGATAGCTTAAAAATATTAAATATTAGGTGGAACAGAACCAAACAATACGGTTCATCCTTAAATAACGAAGTTTACATGGTTAGCACTGTATTTATAAACATTGTAGATTATGTCTAAGGAAATTTACCGGAATACCTTGAGAATGTGCTAAGTATGGTGCACAGCACATACATACTACCATACCCCACAAATATAAACTGGATTACTAGCGATAACAATACATAACGTTGGCAACAAATCACTAGCCTCTAAAAATGGTGCACACAACTCGTAAGTGACTAAGGGCACATGGTTATAATCTTTAGTTATATAAAAAAAATGTGTTACCAAACAGTAAAAACAGATACATAAGTTAAGGCTAATATACAGTGACAAAAACTAGTCCGAAAAATCAAAGCAATTTGCAAATCTCAGACATCAACACAAGTTTTTGAGTCGCTCACCTATGGCCCACAAGGATAATTGGCGGAGCCTCCATCGGATACATAGCAAATATTATTTTTATTATATCCCTTAAATAAAATATTATTCTAGAAACGAGCGTACTTCGAGAGAGTGTCGATAGATAGGTCATCATCATTGAGGCACTTTGTATCACCGTGGCCCCTCATATCCACTGCCAAACATTGGCACTTAACTTGATCAGTAATAAGAGTCTAAGCAAGTAACGTAGTAGCAAGAATACATACACTTAGGACCGCCCATGTTAAAGCTGAGAAACCACCACCATGTAAGAAGAAGAGGAGAGGCCCTTCGACACCTCGACGATAGATTCTAAATGTCTAGAAGGACGAAAATTATAATGCATATCCTTACACCCCCTTCGAGTTCTATATCATCCCGTATGTTAAAATATTCACTCCACCTCACAGGATCATAGCTTCCACCATTTCGTTCACTACAATAGAAAAATAGTGGTTACATTTGCACTTATTTTATTTATAAAAAATAATAATGTCAAGCAGGAATCACCTATTACATCGCTCTTTACATTTCCCATCAGAAAGGAGGACAGTAGGACCACCTGACATTTTGTATCTCCCACAACTCTATCATACATCACAAAACATCTTCAAAGCTGTTCGCCCTCGTTTTAAATGCCTTTTTAAAAGTGTCACCAAAAATGATGCTTTTTATTGTTCTAATTTTTTTGTTTAAGTCATTCAGCCAACACTCAAAATCAGTTGTCGTACTTGTTATCGCGCAAAGCGTTTTTACAATGTATGTTACAATTTGTAGTCTGTATATCGCTGTGCTCAAACTCCACAATGATTAATCATACTTTAATGTTTCTTGTCTTGTGTATATTAACTTAAAAGTACTTGACATTCACGTACAACATAACCGACGTACACCTCCTTTAAATTTATTCGGGATAAAACTGCATCATACTGCTTAATCTTAGTAAGGATTGTATTAAACTTAGGGCTTACAGCACCAATTTTTCGTAACAAGGATAGCCTTTGATGGAAAAAAGATTTTTATGTGAATGTAACTTTTCGGTAGGACTCTAATTTATGGACGAGCCAATCAGAAGCGTTTAGGGAATTTCAAGGTCACGGCGCTAAGTTCAGTGCGAGATGCTCACATTCGATCGTTTTACAGCAGATTTTAGAGAATAGGTGATCGTTGAGAGACTACAGCAGATGGGACTATTAAGAAGTTCCTGTGTCTGTGACTGCGGCAATTAAATGACCGCAGCACGGTGTGCAGACTGTCGCGATGACATTGTATTTCGTTGTACTATATGTTGTAGAAAAAAATCTGCTCGAACTGGCACTTTTTTTGCCCGGTCACGGCTAAGGCTAAGACAAACCATGATAATCGTTGCAAATTGGATCATAAAGTCTCCAGTAACATTAGCTGCGGCTATACCGATGATTGGAAAGCGTATAGATGCCTCTCGAGACTTGGTTTTGTGCATCATGTGGTGGTGCACAAACGTCATTTCTTTGATCCAACGACGGGGGGTCCATACAAACAACATTGAGGGCATGTGGTCTAGGCTGAAGTATTTCTTAAGACCCTACCACGGCTCCAGAGGACGATTATTATGGAGTCATATGGACGAGTTCTTATACCGCATGCACTATGATTTCAAAACTTCTGAACCTATATCAAACCTCAACAAGTTCTTAAATAATGTAAAAGAAGAATATCCATTGTAATTCATCACTTTTTTATTATATACTTTCACTTCATACTAACTCTCTTCTGATTGGCTAATGTCCTCAAGGTCACTTAAAAATTCGTTCAAAGGTCGTCCATAAAGTAGAGTTTCGCCGCCTGAGAAGGAGAATCTAATCTCATCGAATATCATTGTGAGCAAGTTGCTGGAGTAAAAAGACCCTGACCCCGAAATTAGACACGCGCATGACTTAGAGGAGCTGGGAGAACATATATTCGTTGTATCTTATTATATAACTCTAAAGGATTTCAGGTCAAAAAGCTGGTCAGAATAGGTTAGAGAACCGAGGACTTCGTTGAACCCCGACCATGCGGACTCCTTAAGGTAATCCTATGATCCGAGAAGCAGTGTGATTTCCTGTTAAGTAGCGGTCGTAGTCATGACAATTCCGACATCCGAGTTAGATCTGATATGTCTCTTGAAGATGTAATAAAAAGGAAGAAAGCTCTAGCTAAACTAGAAACCCGTCGATAAAACGGTGAGGAAAATTTCCGGTTAGTGGGTTTTCGGATAGTCAGGTCTTTGAAGCGAACGCTACCAAGGCCTGTGTGGATAGGCCGTTCTACCTAAAAGTTTTATATGCTAACGCTCGTAGTCTAAGAAATTAGCTTTATGAACTAGAGGCATTAGTGGAGAAATTAAGGCCACTCATTGAGCAGTGACAGAAACTTGGTTAGTCCATGACTTAGACATTACTACGGAATTATCCGGATACCAATACCTAAGGAGTGACAGACACCAATGTAGAAAAGGAGGTGGTGCCTTTTATATATAGACAATAATATAAATATCAGATTCTCTGCTAGGGAATCCCATTATAGCGGTAATTGTGAAGTCATTAGCTGTGAATTGGCTATCGGATGTGGTACATTTATACTCGGTGTCATCTGCCGCAGTCCAATCTGCTTAGCTGACGACTTTATTTTAGAGCACATTCAACTATGCAGCGCAAATAACAGGTGCTTGATAATAAGAGACTTTAATGCAACTGGTATTAGTTGGACTGAGATGACCACAGAAGGAACTATAAACTCCTTTGATAGCAGTTTCCTGATAACAATAATGGAGCATGCATTAGTGCGGCATGTATCCAAACCCACACGTTTTGGTGCTAACCAAGGTTCTACTCTGTTGAACTTGGTAGTCACTCATGAGACTGAGGATATTGTCGACGTAAATATTCTCCCATCGCCAGTGAATAGCGATCACGCTGTTTTGTCATTCATGTTTAGAACTAGAGACATGATATACGGTTAGGTTACACTCCGCCCAAATGTATGGAAAGCTAACATATCAGTCATTCACAAATGCTCTGTCAGGACAGATTGGTTTGTAGACACTAGCTTATCAGTTGAAGAAGCATTGTCTGTATTTAAAGGTGAGTTTAATTTAGTTACGTCCTCGTTCATACAATACCTGGTACTGCGAAGGCCGAATAACAGTCCACCATGGATTACCAAACCAGTCAGGAAACTTCTTAGAAGAAGGAAAAAGCACTGTAATATGTCCATCTCTACTGGCTTAGAACAATATAGGTCCAGATATTGTAAGATTAGGAGTGCCTGTAAAGCGTTAATAATTAAGACTAGAAGATTATATGTAAAACAATTGGTTAGGGATTCTAGAAATAGTCCGAAGCAGCTATTCTAGTATTTGAAAAGGCGAATTCAGAAAAACGATGGATTTCCATCACTTTCGATACAAGATTGTCCGTTAATCTTGGCAAGAAATTATACCAAAGAAAGTTTAGGTTTTATCGGAATATTTCAGCAAAGTGTTTTATATCAGTAATGAGGAACGACGAACGATTCATTGTGATTGTGGCGGCTCACTGATAGACCCTGTAGTCATTGAGAAAGGTACTGTCTTAAGACTACTTCAGCACCTCAAACCTGATAAGTCCTGATAATATTCATCCTAGAATTATGAAAGCCATATCAGATGTAATTGCTGAACCATTAGCGATACTGTTTGACATGTCCCTGAAGCAATCCAGACTTCCCAGAGACTGGAAAGACGCGATAATACGTCCAGTGTATAAGGCTGAGAGTAGAGATTTAGTTAGTAACTATAGACCCGTTAGCTTAACTAGTGCGGTTGTAAAACTGGTGGAAAAAATCATTCGGATATCTGTTATAAACTATGTTGAAGGGTATGGTTTTCGGAGAGGCTTATCATGCTTGAAAAATCTCATTGCAATAAAAGATTGGGCTGCAGCAAAAGATCGGAATATTCCTGTAGATGTGATCTTCATAAATCTAAGTAAGGCCTCCGATAAGGTCTCCCATTCTGCTCTTAAATTCAAACTGAAACGTTTTGAAATCCATTAGACAGTCGTAGATTGGATCAGTAACTTTTTCCATGACAGGAGACAAAGAGTAAGGGTTAATGGAGCTCTTTCCTCGTGGATACCTGTAAAAAGTGGAGTTCTCCGATACAATACTCGGTCCTCTTCTCTTTCTACTTTATGTAAATGAATTAACAACTGTAGCAAAATCATCAGTTCCACTCTTCGCTGATGACATAAAAATTTGGCGATCCATACACAGTGTGTCGGATAGAATAGTATTACAGGATGATCTTAGCTCAGTGGTGCCATGGTTGGACAGGTGGTTACTAGAGGTAAACCCTAATAAGAGTGTGGTGATGCAATTAAATAACTATGATGATTCGTATCACTACACAATACGTGGATTCTTGCTACCCAAAGTAAAAAACTATAAAGATTTAGGAAGCATATTAAGCAGTGATCTTAGAACCACTAGTCACTGTAAGGCTGCTGGTGCGAAAGACTATAGGGTGTTATGGTCTATTCGTGAGTCTTTCCAGTATTTAGATAATGAAATGTTTAAATTATTATACCTGATTTACGTGCGACCACATTTAGAATGTGGGATTCAAGCAGCGAGTCCCTGTTTCAAGTATGAAGCAGATATGCTGGAAAGAGTCCAACGACGAGGTAGTAAGGTGGTAAAAGGTCTATCTGGCCTATCTTATGAAGACAGACTGGGACACCTTAACTTATTTCCGTTATCTTACCGTAGAATACCATGTGATCTAATATTCGCTTATCGTATACTAAACGATGACCTTGGTATTAACAGGTATTATCTTTACTTCTCTCTAGGACTGATCATGTGAGAGGACGTTCGAAGAAAGTTCAAAAACCGAAATCAAATCGTTTACGTCTGGAGTCTCGTTTCTCGCACCGAGTAGTAAATTACTGGAGTTTTCTACCGGAACACGTAATATCAGTACCTTTTGTTGATATATTCAGAACGAGATTGGACCTTTAGAGTATTACACACTGCAAGGATTAATATAGGTCGATAGACCTCCTATCCTTATTACTGAAGACTGAAGACAGAAGACTGAGTGTTACTCCTGGGGTTTGTGTACGGACTGAACTTGACTGGGTATTTAAGACGGTCCTCAGGAGTAGTTAGGATACTATAAGTCATTATAAGGTCACTTCTGAGACACCCATACTCCTCCCTATATGTTTTAAATTTGAGTCCCCAAGCTGATTTCATGACTCACCTCTAAATACATTCTAATATATTCTTATCCTTTTGGAGTGAAGGGAGAAACACTATGTTTCTATACTCTAGGAGGTAATGAGTGAAACTTCTAAACTGAATAAGATGTTCCGTCGCTAAACTGGCTACTCTTCGAAAATGCTAGTGGAAGGTTTTCTCGAAAAGCGTTTTTGTCGCAGTTAGCGTAAGACCTTAGATCATAAGCTACCAAGACTCATAGATCTTTCGCAACCAGAGATATCTCTAAAGCGGAGTGACCTGGATTGTATGCGTGGCCTGCAGCATTTTCTAAATAGACTGCTTAAAGCTATGAAATGTCGAAACAAGTCCGGTAAAACACACTCCCTCCAAGTAGAAATGAAGGCCCAACCCCTGTTCCACCAGACCAGTCCA